CTATCTAACATCGTCTATCCCCGGTTAATATCAAACCTACAGGAAAGAAGCCACTGAACTACATTAAACCTTAACTGCTCACACAAAGAAGGTACGCTCGTGAGCAGATCCCCTTCAAACAGGTTTTGTCAGCTTTTAAACCGCCCCTTTACTTCTATACGCGTTGGTCGGGTCCCTTAAGCGGAACGTTTGAGTCACTTTATCGAACCAGGACAGATGTCGGTCTCTTTATCCTTTACAGAGCACCTTCAATTTGGCGGTTCTGATCGTACGTTACTCAACGATAATGCCGGGATTTGCGGACGTAGCTCGAAGCAGTTCAGTTGAAGTTCTTGGTGCTTCAAGACTACAACTGTTTCAAGGCCATAAAAGAGAACGGAGAACAGCTCTGCTTCTTTATTGTAATCTTCGTCTTTATTGATATTGAGCGGTCTTTTCATTCGCCATAAAATCTCGCAAAAATTTTTGTTGCATGTTAAATGAGCCGATTAAACTCTGAAACACTGTTTCCATCGCTCACGATAATTTAGCATAAGTAAACCTCAATGGTTAACGTTCCACTACCGAAGTACCATCATATTCTATCTTCAGGGTATCGGTTACGAGTGGTGTGTCTTCAACACCTCTGCCTTTGTCTGGTTAACTCATAGCTGAAAATTTTCTGCCACATTGCACACATTGGCAATAAGGGTTTCCACTCCATCGCCGGAGTCGCTTACGAAGACAAAGTTGTCCACATAATCCAAGTCACTCAAGTAAAACGCTTGGTGGTGGAGTTTTCGTGGCCAAATTGTAAAGCCATGTCTCGCTTTGAATAATACCTTGCCGCATGATGTAGTCAACCACGATATTGAACACTAGTGAGGAAATGACTTTACAATTACGAACGCCGCATGAGACGCATGAGATGTTGAACCACTCTGATTGACCGCCTTCGTTCTGGAGAGCTACAGTTATTCCTTTGTAAAATAATTCCATCAGTCCTTCTATCTTGTCCGGTATTCCATATAGACGGATGATTCACCACAGATGGCGAGGGATCGAATCAAAGGCTGCGGTGAAGTCCAGGAATGTAAACCATAAGAGATTTCCCATCTGCAGTTCCGGCATTGCTCGACCACTCTTCGTAGAACGATGTTGTCCACACAAGAATAACCACTTCGAAATTCCGTCTGGTTCATGCGCAAAAACTCTTCAATTTCACTGTTGAGAACTATCCTTGAGAAAATCTTTTTGAGAACGGGTAGTAGGGTTGTCCGTCGGTGGTCGGAACACAAATGAAAAAATGACTTCAACGTTTGAAGATTGGGATAATCACTCCATTTTTCCAATCTGCAGGCATCATTGGTGAATCCAGGTGACCAGGTTTTTACCTTCACAGTTCAGAAGTTCTGCACATAGTCCATCCTCTGCATAGATGCAGAAGCATTCAGATTTACTCAGGTTTAGGGGAAGAGCAAAGAATATTCAGCTGTAGCAGTGGCTTTGAAGGTGTCTCCCAATTAAATGGAGATTCTTCGACAGCTAGCCTTGTTCCGTTCCGAAGCTCAGTGAAATTCTCAGCCCAGCTCTTCCTGCTGCTGAAGGCAACACGCAAGGGTTCTTTCTCGCTGCCTAAGGAGGGTGAAACTCCCCTCTGCTAGCGACCCTTGCCATTAAATCGCCGCTTGGTTGAACACAGTCTTTCGTTCTTCCACGGCTGCCTCTTTCTCTGATCTCGCAACCTCCATCTCCAGTCATTTCTACCGGTCACTACAGCAACTCTTGTTCACTCCATTAACCACATATCAATGTAGTCGTCGTTTGGCAATGTCTCTCAATTTGCAACAATGTCTGCTCTGTCGCATTCCGTTTTTTGTGAAGTGCTACGGTTTCTACGTAGATCCAAAGTTTCTCTAACTTATTCTTGATTAAGGCGAATGTCACTGTTGCTCCCACCGAGGGTGTTCATTTTCAGGTGTTTATAGACAAGCTTAGGCGATTTTTATCTTGATTCAATTCAATTACAGCAGCGAATCTGCTGTCACTTTTAACTTGGAACGCCTCACACGTAATCTGATCTTGCTCAGGTAGCAGGGGTGTTTCCTTTCTTCGTGCATCATCCTTCTTCCGGATATGGCGAGTCAGCGGCAGAGCTTCGCAACCACTAAGAAGTGATCGGATCCCATGTCAGCAGCCTGCATGGATCACCTGTCATGGTCAGAATTTCGACAGTTATTGTTCACGATTATGTAACTGATTTAGCTTCTGAAGTTCACGTTTCGTGTCATTCACGTTTTTTTTTGTTGATGAATTAGCCTGTGAAAAAAATTGCCATCTGATGATAAACATCCCATTAGATACACAAATGTCTAAATTGTGGAGGTCATTGTCATTAGCTTCTCCTCTACCATGCTGAAATAATACCCGCGGCCAATTTGACTAATTTGCTCTGACGTGGGCGTTGAGGTTACCGCGGCAATGAAACGAGGACCTGTGCAAACAATCATAAACTGGCCATTCTTCTGATCTTTTGCCACATTTTAGGGGCCTTTTGCATTCTAGAAGGCGATCGTTCTGTACTCAATAGAAATAAGCGACTGTGCTACCTTTGGCGAAATGAAAATAGTCGCTTCTGCTTACGGCGGCTGTCTTTATTGTCAAACCAGCAAAACAGCCTATATTCCCGAACCGCTGCATGCGGGTTCCTGACATCCCCGGGATATAAAGTCGTATGGCTTCGCAAGTTTGGGCGACGCTCTAGTTCATCGTCATTCACCGTCAGCACCCTCCAGCAAACGACATGAAGTTTTTCTCCCTAGATGTTTATTTCCTGCTTGTCGGACTTCTTGGTAAGACAAACTGAACTGCCCAATGGATTGAAACAGCTCATCACACAGGCGTTGCAAACAACGCGCGGCGCACCGAAATCGACACTCCCGTTCACCGCCACTAACACTAAAACAACAGGTACAATGATACTGATAAATATACAGTGAGAGGAAACTTTTG